AACAAAAAATGGACTTTCCAATACTGACCATCAACATACTCTCACTGTGCACTTCGTACCGCGTTATACCCCGATAAGTCACAGAAACTCAAAACAAAGGCTATTAAGTTCTACCGAATATCAACCGTCAAAGATATAAATTCTTTGGCACATTTGCTTATCGAAACGATTGAAAAAGCGATTAGCTAAAACTGAACTGAATACAAGACGAGCTCGGAATCATCGTGAGCGTAAAAAACTGCGCAAAAATCCGGAGAAAATACACAGTTACTTCTACCAAACAAAGTATTTCCTAGATAAAAAAAAAAGACCAATGGGGCACATTATGCAAATATTTATAAACTTAAAAATGAAAAAGCGCTACTGCTAAGGCTGTCTTTTTTCAGGAACAGAACTGAGCGAAAGAGTAGTCGCGTTCATAAGGAAAAAGGTTTTTAACAAATCTCCGAAACGACAGCAACACGAGCCCACCGTGCAATCAGCACACACACACGCACACACGCACACGCACACACACACACACACACACCGAGGTGCTGCCTATCAAAAATAGGTATTTGTGCGAAAAACAAAAGACGACTGCCTGCCAGTTGCAATACCACGCTATTTCTTGCCTTTCTTAGCATTCGGCGCTGGCGTCCTTGGCGGTGTCACTGGTCGGCCCGATCCCACGCCACTGTACGGGAACTTCTTTTTATCGGCTGGCTTCAAAATCTGCAAAAATCAACAAACTTCAATTTATGTAACATTTTTGAAAACCAGGCGCTACAGCAAGGAAAATGATGCGCATCTAACGCAGTTTGTGAGTTCAAAATCCCGCCAGTGGGACAACCAATCCCTCCATGAAACATTCGTTTCGATGGTAAACTAGTAGTGATACCCACCAACCAGGGAGTCGAGACTGACATCAGCCCGCTCATAATCAATTTCCGGGAACTGCAGCCATCAAAAAGCGTTGCCAGCAAATGATTACTTCTCGTACGCACCACTCTCCGGGCTATTTCTGAATATTTTCGCCTGATAATCAAAGCACGAGAGAGGATGGGGCTGGTAGAGGGGCAATTACTTATGTTTTAATAACAGAAAAAGGAATTTATACGGTGATAAGTGCATCAGAAATGAAAGAAATGCAA